AATAACAAAAAATGGAAGGAAATACAATTAAATCCAGAAAAAACTACGAAAGAGAATGCTTTCGCTATTTCTTGATAATGATCGAAAGGAGAAACCGATGCAAAAAAAAATAGTAAAAGGCAACAATACTGCGCAGTTTTTAAAATCATCTCTCAACACGAAGCATAGATCAGTATCCAAATTAAATTAGTCACGTGGCGTACTGCTGAATTCAAATGACGATGGTAAAGGCAATATGGGTGGGGCATCAACCCCCCCATTGGCAAACGAAGCTAATGCGAGACAAGCGCAATTTTCTTCGCAACTTGGTCTGCGCTATTCACCACGAACAAGTCATAAAAATAGTTTTCAATGGCATCGTTTTGTCAGTTGGGCTTCATTCTTTGGTAATCCTGCAGTTTAGGTCAAAGAGGAAAGAGGTGTGACTTAACACTGCTAAGTAGCATCCTTAAAGTCTTGTTTCCGGCTATTCAGTTGATCAAACTTCGTTTCAGTTCGATTTTGAGCAATGCGAACGCTTGTTCACCATTGTATGCCTATTACGAAACGTGTACCGTGATATATTACGATTAATTTTTACAAATTATCCACCCTTTTCTCAACATCAGGACCGGTATCGCTTTTGTTTTTTTTTTACCGGTATCGTTTTCGAATACCGATACGATACCGGTATTGAAAAGCAACTTTTGAAATATAGAAATGTGACTTGTTCAACATTCTTTTTGAGCCAGTCTATTCATAATTATTCAGGAAACAATTTATTCAATGAATCACTCACCAAAGCTCAAGAAATTCAACAAAAAATACAACAAAAACAAAAATGGGTATGACTCATGCTCCAGTCATGATGGATATACTACCAAATTCACTTAAAATGACTAGTGGTATGAATGCCGGAAATACCGTGAATATCGACAACACGAATCCCAAGATCGGCATCGTTTTTCTTTTACCGGTATTCGGTATTATCAAGATCTCGTGCAAACACTACTTACGATCTCCTGAATTTACACTAATTAGTTTTCGTTGCTTTTGATGCGGTCATGCGTAGCATCTAGGTAACGACAGTAATCATTGAACTCAATTAAGTAATTAAAGATTACTTACTGATGACGGTTCTATTGGCTACTGCTTTAATTTGGTGAAGTGACTTGAGTTTTTGTAGTGTTTGCACGAGATCCCAAGCCCGGGAACCCCTGCGAAAACTAATCTATAATGTTGTGAAGGACAATACTTGCTTGCAATTTTCGTCAATGAAGGCTGTTTTGAAGCCTCAAGCCACCCTATTAAAACAGCAGCCAATATAAACATCATCAGTAATCTTTGATTACGTGATTAAGTTCAAGTGTTACTCATGTTACCCAGGTGCAACGCGTGACCGCATCAAAGAGAATGATAACTACTCAGTGTGAATCCACGAATCCGCAACATATCAAATAGTACGCGTTTCATAATATGCGCACGCGATGGTGAATGTACGTTCGCATAGCTCAAAATCGAACCGAAGCGAAGTTTGGGGGACTGAATAGCCGGCAACAACGCTGTAAGGGTGCCAATTGTCAGAGAGCTAAATATCCTAGAACGTGTTGCAGTTGCATTTGTTAGGTAGACGTCGCATTCATTCGAAAAAATATTTGTCGTGTGCATCTCTAAATGCATGGGACTACATCATGGTGACTGCTTCCATAAATTCGACCCAAGGCGCATATTAATCGCAGACAATCGCTAAACGTCCCTGTCGGTCTGCGGCCACCGATAACAGAGCGATTCGGATTTCACCAGTCGCTGTTGTGGGACGAACTATACAATGGGCGTGTACCAATGACAGACAAAGAGCAACGAGCGTCAGCGGTTTTCACATCTCTAGAAACAGAAGAGAGCATGTAACAAACATGTGAACGAATGTGGTTAGGACGGAGAGCCAGAGCAGAGATGAACAATTGGTGCGATTGAAGTATCATCGAACAATCATGCAGACAACGCCCAATCGATCAGTCGTGTTCGGTTTCGATCGGTAGGTGCGAAATTCAGTCTATGCTGGCCAGTTTTGGTTTTGATTGGTGACGGCTGAGGATGATGTTTTTGATGACCACTGACCGGTCAGCTTCTTTCGATTTTGATTAGTGGCCACTGACTTTCGAGAGCGAAAATCCGAAAATCAGAAAAAGTTGAATCAGTCATTGAAATTGAATCCTCTAAAAATTGAGAGTCTCGATGAAAGGGTGCTGCCATGGAACTGAGTGACGAAATGAGGTTTATTTGTTTGATTTTTATCATACTAACTCCCAACATCTGTTTGGCAAGTAATTGTTTTGTCAGGCTAGTAACTTTTTGTGAAATGGTGCTGCTGATTCATCAGAACGAGAATATACACAATTCCTAACCTCTCTTACATTGTATCAAGAACTTCTTAATGGATTTTTGGGGCATTGGTAGCACAACGTTTTCACGCAACTTTTTAAAATTAAAATCGCTCGCAACCCTAATACTCAACATAAAGAACCATAAAAGGAAGGAATGACCATTGACCATCGTTCACTTTCTGTTAATACCTGCAGAACAACATTCTACATTTCAATACATCAATACAATTCATTGTATTTCCACGTTTCCCAAAGGTATCTCATTGTGAGATGATGTGCACATTAGTAGAACATCCAAACTTACCTCAGTCTGTGTTCACCATTTATTAATGTCTTCTGAATAATTCCCAGTTATCTGTTATAAGCAGCACATCAAGACTGAAGTGAACTAATGAAGAGGACATTCAAACATTCGAAAATCCTAGTGAGAACCTGGCATATAAACCTGACACTGACGTAACCTATCCAATAACTTCAAACACTTGTAAACAATGGAAAGGGATTGGTGAATGAAGTAAACCGTACCACCAGAGAACACGACAATCAATCCGCAAGATATTGCAAATTAATCAGTCAGTATCAATTCCAACTCACATTTGCTCATGAAATCGTTTTTGAATTAGCGTGACTGTCCACATTAAGTGAATAAGTTTGTTTGGCAATGACTATCCATCGGTGAACTTTTATTCTTCAGTATTGAAAAAAATTGATAGTTTGGAATTTTCGTAACCCACTGGAGCAGCCGAGAAGAAAACTATCTTATAACAGAGAAGACATTAGTTGAACATCAACAGAAGTTGAACTTCGAAACTGTTGAATATAAAGTTTTGGTCTATCCCATTCTCTTCCGGAGCGGGCACCTGCTTAGAGACATACATGTGTTACCGTGACCGGTCAATCTGCCTAACGACAGTTTATCTAAAGATACATTACCTAACGGAGAGTTTGCCTAACTTATGGTTTTTTAATGGATATTTCGCCTAATAGGCAAATTGTTCCTTAGGCAAACTGTCCCTTAGACAAACTGTCGTTAGGCTAAATGTGTTTAGGCAGGTTGACCGGGTACCATGTTTTAAAAGATGTAATAATGCGGCGAATAGGCTTGAGAATGAAAGAATATGATGGATGACGAAAACAAATTTGTTCATCGAGTATTGATATGTATGAATGTGCATTTATTAATGGATTGTTACAGAACAATGTGAACAATTTACAGTATGAATATTAATGATGACAACAATTTTAATAGAAAGGATGATCGAGAAATCAGCAAAATATTTGAAAAATAAACAAATGAAACAACACACTCGCGTACATGCGGAATATCAAGAACGAGAACGTTTCAACCAAAGCAATATCTATGATTTTTGTTGGAAATATAAGCGTCGTCTTCCAACTGGGACTCAATTATCAACCATAGTTAATCTGTAGAGTAGTGGTTCTCAAACTTTTTTGCCTCCCGCACCCCTTAAAAAATTTAAAGATGCCTTCGTACCCCTACAACAATAGTTTATTCAAGAAAGAAACGCGACCGAAAGAATTATTTCTAAGTTGCTCATATTACACCCATGTATGCGTTGAACTCCGTCCTCGCCTACTTTAATCTGTAAAAATGAAACCTTATCTTACACCCCTTGGAATACTATCTCGAACCACGGTTGAGAAACCCTGCTGTAGAGAATGCACATGAAATCTTATAGATAATCTTGAATAAAATATGACCACCTGGAATGAACGCCCCACTTGAAAAAAATTCTTGGGGTCGTTAAAAATATAAATCCAGATTTGTATTCAGAAGAGTACGGTAGTTATTAAAAGAATAATTCACAACAAAAAAAAAACGATGAAATTATTCTCATTCTGACTATGAAATGAACTGAAACATTTTAAAAAGAGCGACAGAAGTAAATAATAACGAAGAGAAAATGAGAATCACAGACGCGATACCGAACAGAGTAATACACTGATGTGGACATCATTCACAAAATGTTAAAATACAGCGATGGACAGTGGTGCAAAACAGCGATAGCGCGCTAGAGCTCATCTCTGTTAGAATATCTATCAACCGAAAACAAAGTGTTCACAATTATCCTTCCCATCATTTTTCATCTAAAATTTCATTGAGTGCGACGGATTGCTGGTAAAATAAAAATATGAAGGGTAAGATTAGAAAGTGAACATTTTTCGTTTTCAAAATTTCGATTTTGTTTTATGTCCAACTGATTTGAACAAACGTATCTTTCTAAGTGGGAACTTCAGTTTTTGTATTTAATTTATCGCTGGCAATAGTATTACGTTAGTTCGATTGAGAAGGTAAGAGGAGTTCAGTTCCAATTTCCAGTGTTTACCAGCACTTTCATGATGACAATTTCATTTACAATACGGTCGCTATTGATGAATGTGATAAAAGAAAGGTAAAAGTTTATACAACGGTGAAAATGTTCGTCATAAAGCAAGATCAAACGAAAAAAAAAACAGCTTCCACAAATGAGTATGAAGAATATATAATAGTAGCACAAGAAATAATTATTAATTGAAAGTAATAATGAGTTGAACAAGTACATATTGAAGCCATATAAGTAGATAGATGAGTAATTCGAACTAATGAAGAGTGGAAACAAAAAATGAAAACAATATTATGAGAATAAGGTTTTGAAATGAGAGTTGATTTGATTCATATTCGAGTATTATTCCTTTTCATCAGAACACTACAACTGAACGAGTATACAAATAGAGTTCATGCGGTAAGCAACGTAAGTACGTGTGCTTGATAAAATACCATACATATTTGCTGAATTCACATATTATATTCATGAAAAGAGGTAACGTGGACGACAATGCGAACGCATTCAATTAGTATATTAATCAAAAAAACCCGCATTATAACCCATTTAAATAATAGACGAATGCAATTTGCATAATCCTTCTTTATATGCTCAAGGTTTGTCCACTGAAAACGATTTTTAAGGTGCACAAGAAAACGCATAAGTGACGCATTGTTAGCGGCTTCAGAAGGAAGATTGAGCGAATTGCCAAATGAATAAATGCATGCTCCGTACAGTACAGCAGAATGAATGAATACAAAAACTGAAGCAAGATGATCATCATTGGGCAGCTTCGGACTCACATGCATCAATATCTAGACGACATACGGGACACTTCTTATTATAGACAAGCCATCGATCGATGCAGTCCACATGAAATATATGTGCACACGGCAATGAACGAACAGAATCATCTGTTTCAAAATCCACCAAACAAACCTTAAACAATAATAATTAATTTGATATTATAATCAACACATAACAGTGCCACCATTATTAAATTCTCATATCACTTAAAACCACTATTCGATTGCTGATATTTTAAAACAGTTTTTAAACCAATCATTCAATTAATTGAAATTACAAGTAATCATTAATCTGAGTGCTGCTTAAATGAAAGATGAGATTCACGAAGTTTATTACCTCAGTGAACCATTTCCTCACATGAACTGAATGAATATTTCAAATCGTTCTTAATCATATAACTGTTGTCGATATTTATCTCTAGACTTATTGTAAGAGATACATTCAGTAATATTAAAACATCACAATAATACTGAATAATCATAGCAATATTAATAATGAAGACGTACCGTGCAGCGTTCATTTTCAGCTTCAGGTAAGTCAATATCACGTACATATTTGAGTACTTGTGTCAGACTAATAATACGTTCCACAGATGCACCAACAGGTAACGGATCACTTGGTAATGCAGCTGCACCGATCGCACCATTAACTTCATTGTGTTGCAATAATGCCTTTAATTCATCAATTCATTCAGCTCTTAGAAAACTTCAATAATTAATTGAAAAACTCACTGACTCAAGTTCCTATCAGGAAACACTGTAATGTCTAGTTAAAAAATCAGAACACCTATCGACTACTGGAGTTCATACATAATCGTCGAAAGTTATAAACCGAAAAGTGGCACTCAATAAGACAATAAAATATGCGAAAAAAAATCTGATGAGCTGAGTAGAGGTTAATCTAATTAGTGAACGAAAAAATGAATAATTTATAGAAATATGATAAATATCACAATATGATGATAAATGAATAAACGATGAGCTAAGCAAGATTGAATGAAAATAACAAAACATTTACCACAGACAGTTCAACAAGGGGATTCGGATAGCGCTGAAGGGGAAGAAGGGAAGTAGCACGACGGCCAACGACGTCTAAACCCACGAGGCTGCCCGCAGCCATTGGGTGACGTTGGAACCAAGCACTGTTCGCTTGACGTTCTCTTTCAAGTTGAGCGATTCGAGACGACAGTAAACTATTGTGTATCGGATTAACATCGATTTCACGTCTTGAAACAATCTTTTTACTCAATATACCATACTTATGTGCCACTTTCCATAATGATGCTTTTCATTCTTCGAAGTTCATCGCGAAATTATTCTCACGAATCACCATACGAATAATATTCTCAGTAATGAGACAATATTATTTCAAATTTAAGAACCGAATCTTTTCTACAGATCTTAGAATAAAATATGAAACAAATGCTACCAAACTTAAATTCAGATAGAAATGAATAATATAATCGTTACACTACCTCCGATTTGCAACATTAACCGCACTATCACTGATCTGTTGATATGGATGCCAAAACTCATTTGTTTGATAAGCACTTAATCCAGAACTGGCGCCATCGATAACACTGTTGGGTATTTCACGATGTGGCTCAATCCTATTCACCATCACAGATCGCTGCGTTCCCGTCTCTTCTTCGTCACTTAACATAAGCATTTCGTTTCCAATAAAAAAGACGCAGAATATAGGTGAAAAATATCACCTTGATAGTAATACTTTGGCAACGGTAACGTTGTGATATAATAACAAAATCACAAACCGCAAAAACTGCACTAATGAAATTATTCTAAACTGCCTCAAAAACAGAGACGATCGAACATCGAACGTTTTCGTTTAGAAATAACGATTCTAGTTAAAGTAACCGTCGAAATAAATCCTTCTCATAAAAGACATCATTTTCGGAGCAAAATATTTTTCGTGCACTAAAAATACCTTACTGAGACATTCATGCAAGATGTGCATTTATACTACACGTAGTTTTACTGTTTCATTAGCTCAGCTAGAATTAAATCCTATGAAATATTGACTGCCAACTACACGAAGACATCAAGAAAACGTTACATGCACATTAGTAGAGATCTGCTTATACATCTGCACATATGTACAGGAATGGCGCAATATTAATATTTATATCCTCCTTTTAATGTCGGTGAATATCTATGTCGAAGTTTGAAATGAAAGAATTTACTCGATAGGAAGTTCAATGGAAGCAGATGAAGGAGTATGAGCCGAAGAAGTGGCACCAGTGCTCGATGTTTCACCGTGCTCTGATAAGAAACGTCTTATTTTGGGTTGTATGAATGAGGACGAGGCATTATTGCTACAATTAACAGACGAATGACGCACAGCTGGTCGTTTCAAGCGCATCGCTGCTGAACGTAATGGCGGCGCTGCTGCTAATGTCGGTGGCAACACGGGAATCTGAAGAGCATCAATTCATTACATCCAATTAACAATTACTTTCACAGAACAAAGTAACACAGATGACTGGCTGAGCTTGTTCGTCATTCGTTTTTACTGAGAACTTATCGACTCGGTTTGAATTTAGTGCATGATGCCAGCGCTGAGATCACCTCAGCTTCAGGCTAAGGATTATTCGCAGACATGCACCATTCGTTCTGCTTTCATTTTGAGAATATGAGCTCTATCGACCCTACCGTCTTTATTTCACCTCTGGACATTGGAAGTAATCGGCTTATGAAGTGACGTCTGTTAACGAAGATAACAATGAACGGAACAATCGATAATTCAGAAAATGAGACGAACTACTGAAGGAGAAGCATATTGAAATCTTCATCAAACAGTCATGTTAACATGGATTATGGTTCAAATTAAATGAATTTTTCATTCAAAATTCACCACAACATCAATTTTTAAATACAAAATTTAAATTTAAATCGACGAATTTGCTTTCGCATCAGAAACAGTATTCAGGCTGAAAGTTTCACCGGATTGTTCTCAAATTGTGCTGTCGAATTTTTTTCCAGCGGGAAAGTTCAGTTTAAAAAAAGACGAACTTTTACTTGAAGATAACGCTTTGGGTATACAGGGAAACGGAATAAAAGGGAATAAATAAAGAACTACTTCTGTGGAAATTGCAGAAGATGTCGGCTGATCATCGAAGAGATGTGCACGATCAACTTGATTAACTCTTTGTGCATTCGCTGATGAAAAAGAATGCGACATCTGCTGATTTGCTGATGATATTGTTCCTTAAGGCACATCGGATATAATATATCCATTCATGGAACATTCCGAGAACTGCATATCTTATCGTTACACATAATCAGTGCTGTGTGATTAGTGGTTATTGCATGAATGAAGTCAACAGATAGTTCACGAAAAAAGATGCAGTATGCACCTGTTCACTCCGTAAAAATAGTCATGAAACTGAAATATAGTAATGAAACGAACCGGTGGTGGGTAAGGTCAAATGCGTGTTATTGAGGGGCCGCGGTTGCAAAAAATAAGGTTGCGGATAAAGCGGCTGGCAGATTGCCGGAATGGCTTCTGAGCCAGTAAAATAGGCACATGGAGCTGAGATTGGACCAGCAGTGGTGAGAAATGCATCCATTCTCGGAACAATAATCGGTGATATAGCAGTGGAATGAAGAAATGCTGTCGGATTAACCACAGTTGGCATCTGAAGCGCACTGAAGGACAACGATGAAGACGCAATATTACTAGTGTTGTTGTTGTTATTATTATTGATCTGATGAGGTGTTGATGAATGTTGTGAAGATGTTGACGTTAAGGCTGAAGTTGTTAGAAATGGAAGCATCGGCATTCCCAGAGCAAGAGGATGGTAAGGATGCGAGGCTGCATAGGGATTTTGATTGGCATATGCCCTGAGTGGGTTCATTTGCGTTGCGTTCGCCATTTGAAGAAATGCTGCTTCAGTTGGTTCGAGTATATCAATCTGAAGAGTTGTTTTTTAGCGTTCATTTATTCATCACAGTTCATAATAATGACAATCAATAACAATTTATATTCGACAACTCTGCTTCATTTATACAGTTTGATGGGCTTGACTACTTGTACAGCTCATATTACATAAACAATAAATATTCTGGAATAACGCCAAAACATCACAATTGGAGATTTCAGACGAGATCAAATGAAGGCAGAAAAAAAAGAAAAGAAAGAATAAATGCACTAAAAACACGCAATGTGTAAGTGTACACAGTAAATGTATATTGTGAAGTGGGATAAGTTACTTCTGTACACGAGAAAATAAAAGTGAAGATAGTCTACCGGAAAAAAACACGAAAAATATAAAACGCACGAACGATACAAGAGAATAGCAAAAGACGAATCGATCAATACAGCATAAATGCCGTACTGACACGGAACTGCACGAAATATACTCCATGAAATGACTTCTGAATAAGTCTGAAGTTAATAGAAAATTACTAAAAATATTTTCATGAAGATGGACAACATCAAAAAATGTTTATATATTCGCTCCGTACAGAACAGAAGGTAGAAAGTAGAAAGGTAGAAGGTAGAAAAGTATTTGGTGGAATTCTTCGAATTTGATGGAAGCGGTTCGAAGAAATTTTGCAGAAATACAACAGATTTGCAACGCGAACACAAAACAGTAAAATTTCTAAATATTTTCGAGTGTCAAAGATAAGGCCGTTGAATAATGTTTAAAAGCACTACATCTCTCAAAAGAATCATCGCTATTGCAAAATCTTATTGAAATTGGTTATTGTTATGATGCCATCTTATCGTTAGAGAACGTAATTAACCAATCCCAGAGTCCAGCATTAAGCAAAGTGTGAGTGAAGGAAAGCAAATTTTCTTATCAACTCCTTGTCGGTAGTTCTCGCAGGGGGAGATCTGAGAGAATTCGAGAGTGCCAATGGAAAATTGAGGAGGTTGAAAATCATTATTGGCTGAATTGTTGTTATACAATAATCCTTACAAAAACCTACGTTCATGCTCACATGGAATTGATTTGCTAGATAGAAGAAAACGAATTCTTCAGAGAATTTCTTGATGAGCGACTCAGTTTCCTGACTCATTGTCCTCATTTGTCTGACAACTAACAGACTGTCACAGGAGGAGGTAAACTGCTGTCACACAGACTGTTGAAGTGGAGGGGGGAAGCGACACTTTGCCAAAAAGTCAAATGCAGGTAGGGCGCGCAAGGACGTGAAAACCACTCATCAATGCCAGCATTCCTTTTCAGTGCAGGCTTCGTTACATTTTTTTCAACAGTCCTCATATCAGACAATCTAACATTAATGACGCGTCAGTTAATCACAACGATCATCAATGTTGAAACTAATCAATAACGCTGCAGGAACTAAGCAGGATGCAATTTCCTGAAGTTTCTGAACGAGTTTCATTCCACCCATCGACATTGCTCACTTCCACTTACATACGAACAGCGGTTTTTCTTCAGTCGTTACACGTTCCAGAAGTTGTACAGGTAGGAATATCTAATAGACCCAAACTTCGAGCGAAACAAAGAAAACAAAACAGATCAACGAAGTGTCCAATAAAAGCAAGAAAAAAAAAGAGACACATGATAGAGTGGGTAGTAACTGATTAAGATTAACATGCATTTTTGCTCGCGCGTACATATCAGACCAGGTGCGTATATCAGACGGAATGTCAGTTGGGACACAACATTTTAAAAACCTTGTTCGAGAAACGCAGTTAGTCATAAACGCCAGATTGCAAAACAAGGTGGGAACTTGGCTAATTGTAAGGCAACCACCAACTTGATAGACATAGCTTTCCGTAATATTGCAAAATACTTCGTATCAGCAGGGGACTGGTGCGACAGACATTGAAACTAGAGCATGTATCAACAAAATTATGTATCTGATTTATGAGAGGGGTTGAAGGGTAAGCTTGAATTTTCATGAACCAAAACATCTTCCAATAAGATGGTGAAAAAACATAGTCGGAGGCATATCACATGATTTGTTGCTCGCAATTTTGTGCGTGCAAAGTGAAGGACATAAACTGATGTTTACGCGAAATGTCTTCTGATTAGACTTATATCAATGCAGAATTACTGGTTAGAGTAATAATGACTGAACCAAAATCAATTTAGATGGTTGATTCAAAATAAACGGAAAGTGTTTCTTCATAAAAACAAAGTCGATATCAAACTGATGATGGAGATAAGAATAACGTTACCAGTAAGAATGGTAATGCACCAGGGTCAGAGATACATTTAAGAATACATAAAATACATATTTAAATAAAACTTACAATATTTGAATTAGTCACAAATTCTGAGTTCGTATCAACCAGTGTCGGAGCCACGTCGTCGGCAGTAGCCATTCAGGCCACTAGCGCCCTAGTGCGTACTCAAATTTGTGTGCGTTCAATCAATCCACACTGACTATATTGATTGATTCATGTATGAAGAGAAATGAACAGGGATAGAAAGAGGTATGGTGAGTCAGTGAAGAGGGGTAAGAAACAAATATGTAGAAACGACTGCATAGAGGAGATATTGAATCAACTCTGCATTCACCTTTTATTCACTATTTCGAATGGTCATTTTTCTATCATTCTCTGACAGCGTTTCTACGATCCTCAAAGTCTGAGCAGAGGAGATGGGGAGGGGTGCTTTTGAATTTAGGTGAATAAACTCGTTGATGGTTGGTCTCATCGTCTGCGTCGTTCAGAAAATGATGCATCAACGAATGATATTTCCTCACAACCAGTATCCTCCGTCTATATCACTTTTATCTCATATGCATACACATACATGATTCAACCTCGGTTTGCGTATAAAATTCGTCCTAAACTCTTGTACGTAACTAGAAATATGTTTTTGAAAAGTAATCAATGGAAAATTTAATCCGTCCCAGTTCTCCTAGCCAGTGCCCGAACTGGCATTGATGGTACCAACGTACTAATGAAACGAATAGAATAAATGAAGACCACGCAAAACAGTGATTGATATAAAGCGCAATTTCATGTATTAATAACGACACATAAGCAGGGATTGCTGATCGTTGACATGAAGAAAACGAAGATTGAAGCTGAAAAAGCATTTCAACGTGCTCTTTGCAGGTATTTGTCGCAACCCACAAGGCAATTAGAGAAGATGAAAAATTGAGTAATCGCTGATGCAAACTAGTACATTAAATTTATATAAATATTCATTCAAGTGAAATTCTTATGAGAAAGAAAAAAGCATGATATGAATAAATAGTAGAAAAGGACATTGTAAATAGAACAGTAGAAATGATCACATGTGGGGATTTCTAAGTTAACGAAATGAAATATTAGCAGACAACAACAATAGTAAATGGAAAACGAGCAGCAAATGAAGAACGACCGAAATAAATAAAAACTATGAAGTAGGATGGAACTAAAGCAAATCTTGTTGCACTGATAAAAATGCAGTAATAGTAACAGAGTAAATACTAGCCGTAATTCATTAGTAAAGTGATTCTACTGTACTTCATGATTGTACTGTGCTTCATGGTGAAAATTAGCAAAGTAACAAAAAAATGAAATTCACAAAAATCACAAACGTTATTGCTGCAATAATTTTTTGACGGCATAAAATAGCGATAACTTGCGCTACTTTCTTTCGTTGGTGATTTAGCAAGTTACTAATGTTCAAACGCCCACTAAATAGCTAATTCTCGTCCGTAAGGGAATACTTATTTTTCACAACGTCAAGATATTTAACCATTGTGTGATATTGATATTTTTGTTATTCAGCTGCCGTTCGTGGGTCAGACTGACTTTTATCTTAGCATACGTTTTAAATTACATTTGTTGGCAGATCTCAAGCCGAAAAGCCGCAGTGAAATAACTACGGGTAGCTGAACCTGAAGGCCGATTCGATTAATCGAAATATGGTTCAAATGTCTGCCAAAGTTTCAAGACAGAGCTTGTTTATATCACCTTGTGTAACATGTCTAACTGATTTCGAACTGATCTCTCATTTTGCAAAATCAATTTTAATCAGTAACTGCAATGAATGAAAGGAGATCAAGCACAGAGTAAAAACACCTCTGCACATACCTCTTCCCCTACAATTCTTGTCCACATTCAGTTTCGGTATAGATGATTGATACTGGAATGAAATCATTTGCGGTATGAGCAGAATTATTTTGGAACAAAATCAGAAATGTGTAATTCCTTTATAATTCCAGTCTCGCAAAACTGTAATAATGAACATTTTGTATAGCAGAGGTATTAATTATTATATGCTGAGTTTTGAAGTCCATCTAATAATCATTGAATCAATCTGACATGCCACATATAGATGTATTAGTTCAGAACATAACTTCTGCTCTTCATTCTCGTATTTGAATTCTGCAGAGTCGGAAAATAGATTTGAAATCAACTACACAACTTTCAAGATGCAATGACCCTCATTCTTGTCAGCAACATTATGGTTTCACGGTACAAGGAGACAGAGGAAGTCTGTCGAAAAAAAAACTGTGAGACATTGCTCGTCTCCGGAGATAGAGTGATCTATTTATCAGAAGGATGGAAAGATTTGTTAACTTATCTATCTAATCATGGAAAGATAAATGCTGTTGATCTAGGAATTTCTTTCACTTCATAGTTCTCACCATCCCTAACGTGAGTTACTGCTAGCCCCATTGTAACCAGTTTCATCATTAACATGTTGGGGACTCAAACAGGTGACTCTTCATTTGGGCATTGAGACCATTCAATCACACCATTCCTTGATGTTTATACCTTAAGCGAGAAGCATTCGCTATTTTTTCATCACCGACAGTACCAGCGGTCATAAAAATAATTTTTTACGAATTAGCGATTAGCAGGGCTAATTTTTTCAGTGACGTGCCCATCACTGGGTAACAATTTCCATATTCTGATAGCTGTAAAACGGAAACTACTTAGAACAGCATTTCTCATGGGGGTAAATCACCCTGTGAGGATTAATTTGGGAATGTCAGGGGTGATTGAAGGTATAGATGAACTTGTTAATGAATTTTAATCTTCACTGACCAATATTTCTCTTCTCATTGCTTTTTGTTGTTAATTGCTGAGGTTCATATTACTTCTGCAATTGATGAAGAAAGTTCTAAAAATTTGTTTCATTCCAGAAAATAGATTTCTTTCACGCCACTCAGGAATTTCTGGACCAGTTTTCGATTTGCTCTTGACGTTATAATAATTTCGTATAGTGAAGGATGGGTTTAGGGGCAAGGGTGGGGGTGGCTGTGGGGGTAATGACGTCCTGTCAGACCACTGAGGGGGACAATGAAGCTTCAAAACGTAAGAAGCACTGATTTGGGCGACATTGTTCGCAGATATTTTTTGCAGTTTTGCAGAGATTTAAAATGCATCGTCTTCATCGGAATAATGATTACGTAGATGAGTGCGAAATCTGCATAGCAAAACGATTACTGCATTCATCAGGAGTGTTCCGTACTATGATCAGTCATTTTTTAAAACAGTTTTAAAACTTTTCAGGAATTGTTACTGATTAACACATCGGGAATTGACTGGAACAATTTTCGAAAAGTTGGAGCAGAGCTGATTCAACTAAATGACACACGTGTCAGCTTTCAACCCATTAAAGTTGTCTTTCGTCTGAAAATTAATGCTTAGATTACTCCCTTTCCTTTCACTGAAAAAGCATTTAACAATCTTAGAACGATCGAATGTGATGCAAATAGGAGGTGATTTGCTATTTTATTGCAAACCAAGTTATCAATGAGAATGATGAAAGAGCATGATCACTGAATTGATCACATACCATTTACATCGTAAATGCACAAAAATGGGCGTAACAATGACAATATCAAGTTGTTATTAATAACGGCAATGCTCTTAAAAATTCTTTAATACAATAAAAGCAACAGTAATTATGATACTCACAAATTAAGGGGAGAACGCATCAAAGATAAAAATGAAAAACGAATTACTTTAAGATAAGTATGAAAAATTAATGGTAATTGAAGCAACTCAACAAGTAATCAATTTAATATGATCAAATGAAACAAAAAGAAACAACAAAAAGATTTTAAAACGAACAAATTAGAAAAGGATGCACAGCGTCTAAAGAAAAAACAAAAAAAATTACTGCAAAGGAAAACACGCAAGAACACCCATATAATACCAAGCGAATATACCTAATACATACGTATTCCACAGTTGTAATTCACTGATTGCGAGCTGACTTGTCACAATTTCTATGAGCACTATTAGTTCACCAAACATTGAATACATCAAATTGTATTTCTATTCACTAATGACATTTATTCAATGATTTTTTTCGCATTTTCCTCAGGTAGACACCTGAACGAATGCAATTTGAAATAATTGCTTTCTGGCACTGTAAGCTTTTAAAAGGCTTTAATATTTGGAATATGCTACTACAAAACACTTTAACGAATTTGAAATGAAACTCTAAAATTTAATATCTACTGCTTTCTATCATGTATCAAACCATTTTCATTCAAAAATTTCTGCTACAGAACAAAAAAACGAGAACGAAAAAATTACACTTCACGAATGAGAAAATGAAAAACAAATTTCAAAACTAAAACACATCCAAGAATATATTAAATATATTAATTTAATATTCGTATATCTATATATGCATAAACATAAATATGTAATATTTAATTTATTCGAAGAATATATAAAAACAACAAATCAAGATTATGAACCGGAAGAAACTGATTTATATCTGAATTCTGAATAGACGACCTTACTAGCTCCTTACTACCAAACCTATCCAAAATGTTCAAAGTGACTTGCACTTAAACTACGAATGGCTATTTCGAGAATGTCTGATCGAAGCTTTCGTTTCACAAACAGCAAAGTTCGAGTAAAGTATTTGCCACAATTTGCTAGGAATACTTAATTGATTGACGTAAACAATGTCTGAAATTCACCTGCCAAGTTTCCTCTTCAAAACGAAAACAACAATTGCATAAGATCTTAGAGCGTTGAGATTCATCAGGTTATACATTCATCAATCTGGCCATATTTTATTGTGGATAGGTTTCCGCCTTTCTTTGAAGAAAGGTGACCCGAACAAGTGAGCATCATTACATGAAGCCTTCCTTCCTTAGTTTGACATCTATTTTGAAGAGGAACTTCATAAACCAATAATACCAACATGTAACGTTAAGCAACAATAAATGAGTACATTCAATCATATAACTAAACAATTTCAAGCAGCTCAGTCAAAATTTCAAGACGAGCGCAGAAATAAAAGAACATTACGAATGAACCCCATTACAAATGAAATAGGTTCATTCACAATAGAGAGAAACCATGTGCAATCACTCTAAGGCGCTTTTATGAACTTCACACAGCGCAAATTAAAAAAGACGTGCGAAAACGCTCTGAGTCGACACACAGAAGTAAATTTAAAATGATTCGTTTCAACACTGAATATATCTTTTATATGAGCATAGGTAGAGCTACCCACATGAATGAGTTCACCAAGACAATTATTATCAAGTATCCGTCATATCTGCTTCTTTTACCGAACATCCACTGACGAAACAACCAAAATGCAGCAATCAAATAATAATAATGTAATTATACAAAACAAGAATTTATGTTATATTTATCTGTTCATATTCTATAGAATGCATCGTTTTAATCATTGAATATAACAAGAAATATGCAATACCAGCAGAAGAAATAAACAATAATAAATACATATATAGATTGATGCTGAAAGTGAACGCTTTTGAAAACATAATAATGAACAATACAAACAAAAGCAATGAGTAAAAATGATTGTATGCTTGATCAAACATTCACGAATATTACAACAAGTAATGTTCGATGAGCAGCCGTTCTTGGAAGGCAATCAGTACAGCCCGCACAACATATATACCTAACAACTGCGAAAGTCCTTTTCGATCAAAAAGAGGTGGCATAAGAGGAAGATATGGGTTTGTCTCAGGTATGATGGCTTTCTTCTAGGATTTTTTCAGACGCTAGATGCTACACCCTGCCATTCTTTGGAAATGTACCACTGACACTCAATTATGCCTATTTCACTTCTCATTAGATCCTTTTAGATCCTCTTCAATAACCTCTATTCTCGTCAGCACATCTGATAGTAAGTAAACGAAAAATTTCTTCGGCTGCAATTCCGAAATTCGGTTGGTTACCATCACTAATCAGCACTGGGAAAATATTTTCGAAGTGCACAATTGAAATTTGAGCACTCAAAAATATCACTCTTCCTTGGTCGCATATGTTCTGTTGATTTTTAGAGTTTGAACGTCCTGTGAACACGATACCAGCACCTCACAAGGCCAACCGAATAGAAACAACATTATTAAACTGAAACAAACCTTTCCTCAAAATTTCATGTATAAATCAGCGACATATATAGAGAACGACGTAAACATTATATGAATACAAAAAACATGCTACACAATTTTAAAAAATCAACAACGCATCCACTAAACTGCCTAGTCAACAATCAACTGTACTGAACAAGCGTTACAATTGTTGATTAAACTACGTTAGGAAAGAGAAAAATGATGGAACAAAACTGTAAACGACGCAAGCAGCAAGCAGAAACTTCTATTATCTTCTCTTCGGTTTTCAATGAAACGATTGGACAGAAAATATGAAAACTAATAAAAATGAGCATTCGTCCTCAAAATTAGTCATAATTCACGGACACTGAAGGAGCAAAGAGAAAATAGTACGCCATCCATTTTTTCTTACTCAACACAGTCGGAATAACGGTAAGTGCTGTTGCTCCGTGGCCAACTGCTCTTCAGCCGTTTCATTGGAGCAGACAGAAAAGAAGCAACAAATGAGTTAACAATGGTTCATTCCACAAATTCTGAGAACGGATTCATGGATTTTTGGTTAGGATGTCGACTGCAATGACAATAATGAATAGCGTAAGTAGGTTCAAACCTTCACTGATATGGATACTCAGCAAGATGACAATTTCGAACAATTAATCAAGCTGAATCAACAGTAGTCGCCTAGTCTCAAGTATTGATAAAAACAAAACAAATTTCACGCCTAAATTCAAAGTCTTACATTCTTCATAGCTGCGCTCAAGAACATAACGACATCAATTTAAAAAAAAAAAACATCTGTCCAACAACAATTTAATGAGTCAGTTACTCCATATTCAATTCATTTATTACCACCACCCGTACACTCAAAATTATCGTTCATATCAACTACTTTGCATTTTGTCATCACTACAAGCAACGCCGTGGAAGTAAACATGAATTAACGAAAACTCGCCGCTGTAAACGAATAACTGACCTGAGCATGATAAAGTGGTATGAACATTCTAATAGATGTAAACAATTCGAAGACACAAATGATAGAGAAAAATTGACTGTTTGATTCATTTTATCAGGGTGATGACCATTGCATACTGGTCCGTAATTCTGTTTATAAGAAATGAATGTATACTACGGAACCTATTCAAAAACACGTGCTTTAATCACTACGGATTTTGATTTATATATACACACTTCGATTCAAATCGATTTTCTGGATCACCAAAGCATTCTGATTCACTGCTAACCGGTTATGCTTAAAACTCACACCAAAAATGCATTTGTTGTATTGATCGAGTGTTTTAACAGCAATATTTGTCACGAATGAATAGTGTGCGTTGCGATGCGCATTTTTGAATGAAAAATGAGACATCGATAAAGCAAAATGATAGAATAATGTGGTAATATGATAAATAAAATAAGGCAACGAATGACTAAAACAATGCACAGATAATACACTAACGCCGCAAGACGTCTTGATGCTAGAAATCCATCATCGGCTGCAATATTAGCTGGGCAAGGATACTGAACTACTCAGTACGCTTGCTCATTCAACATTGTAACTCATGATAATGATCTAATGCCACAACGTCTTACGGTGTTGGTATATTATCAGCACATTATTTCGATCAGTCATTCATTCATTCCATTTCGTTTAATCATTTTACTTTACCACTGTATTATTAGCAAAATTTACACCAAAATTGATTTGGGGAATAATATCTCAAGTAACGGCTAGTTTCGTTCATCTTTTGATAAACAAGTGCCTTATCAAGCAATGTTTCCCGGAAGGCTGTCCAACTGTCAGTTCACTTCGAAGGTGTTGAAGCCAGTCATACGCTAGCAAATAGCTTTATCACGAAGAAGGCTGCAACATATTTCGAGAAGTAGCTCTAAAGCTTCCCATGCAGTGCGACTAATGTGCAAGAAACAACTTTCATTGCTACTATGGACACATGTAGCCAATTATAAGGCTCTGGCAGATTTCCCCAAAGATTGAGCATCGGAAGAAAAAGAGTATAAAGGACTGATAGCAACGTCGACGAGATAATATCATCCTGAAAGGATGAAAAATACACGAGGAATATTCATCGACATTGTGCAATAACTGAGACATACTCTGGATGAGAAATATACATATCTACGATGAATAGCTAATGCCTTTGAAAAAGCTAACGATGTTCAAATCATGACAGTCTCGAAGATACTTTTTAATGGTATCAGGTCAATGATAACTTGCCAAATTTTTTAGGAGAATTTTCAAAAACACTACCAAAATTACAGAAAAATTAGTATGAGCAGTTGGTAAAGCCTCATACAAGAAGTTACTGAACAACAGAATCCACACGAATTGCTTCAATTCTTTACAGGTGAACAGCTGATGAAAGACGACACGTAACCAGGCCCCTTTGCATAAAGCGGGATAAAGAACCTACCACATGGTCAGACAGCAGTTCAAGAACCTCACCCATAGGGAGAAGCACACTTTCATTGAAACCCAATTCAAAACATGAGACTAGCCGAAAAGCACGAATCCAGAAAATATTGTATGTATAACTAACTACATGAGGTACATTCAAAAAAAATTGTCGATATACAGATTCGCAACAAAATCAGTACGACAGAACGGGACGTGTCGAAAGAACATGAAGACCCTATGAAAAACAAACCAGGTTAAAAGGACGACGTCAGAATCTTCTTTCGCATACCAACATGCAGGCGGAAGGATGGACTTTACCAAAAGCGCAATTGATAATGGAATAGAAATGATGTCAGCACGTTCACTGTCAAGTTTAAATTTGGAACCACCATGTGACGATTTAACTAATCATCATAGATATATACATATTATAAATGAAGTTATTTCATGGGGAAATAACAGAGCAAATATGCAAAAACAATATTAACACAACCATCAAGCAATTGCAGCTGTTCATCTGATACGAACAAACCCAAACTTATGTTATAACAAATATACACTTGCATAAAATATCGTAATATCAGACTACCGCCTATATTACTTCGAAGCAACTGTACATGTACCGCACAACTGATTAACTATTAAACCGAACTGTTGAGCGTGTACGACTCATCACCATTCAACCACTTAGCAAATCAAACAGACTTATTAACAAGCTGTCACTGGCCGACCATTCGAACCAAGAGCTCAAAAACAACTACAAAAGAATGACACCGAGTTAACTGTGCAACATTTGAGTGAACGTTCGACGAAACATCAACAATATCAGCATGAAAGTAAACAACACTCACTCATATCTATTGACTAAGATACTCTTCATTTTGGTTGAAACGATTGAGGTGTGAATAATCCTGAAATGCATAAACATAAGCTCCAAATAAACGGATCTATAACATTTTCGATAAACAATTGAATAGATGTGAATGGAACGAAATGATATCGAATTTGCAAATAGATGAATGATTCAAAGAACAAACCAAAATTGGCCGGAGCAATACCAGCTTGCATTGCGACTAATGCTTGTTCATATGCTTGGTGAGCCATGCCTGGATTAGTTGGTGGTATCATTGGAAAACCACCAGCAAAACGCATCTGTGACATATATTGTTGCATTTGTTGTTGTTGTTGCATCTGAGCCAAATAGTGTGCCTTAACAAAGTTAAACCCGTTTTCTGAACGAGTTTTTAAGAGAATGAAAAATGTAAAATTGATGCTCTCATGAAAAGATAATCAGCTAGAAGTGTGAGTTGACATATGAAAAAGACTAAAAATTTATCAGTCACAAGTATATTTGTGATATCAATCGGATAAGATTATATTCACTTGTTGCTGATGCTGTTGTTGCTGTTGCAGTAACGCAGCCGTTGGATTCGGCGTTCGTTCAGGTGTTGATTGCAAACTAACAGATGAAGACTGTTGTTGTCCTAAAAGAAATGTGACTGGTCTAGATGGTGGTGTCTGAGTTTGGGCATGACTGGATGTAGCAACATTCACTTGTTGCTGTTGTTGTGATGAGGAGGACGCCGATGATAAATTCTTTAAATTCAATCCATTACCAGAAGTATTTGATAGTCCAGACGCAACAGCAACATCTAAATTATATGTTTAAGTATTCAACGAATCAATTCAGACAAAATCCGCTGTCTTCTCTTCAAAAAATTATTGCTGAGATGACAATAAAACTGATATGGAAGACACTTTGTTCATTTCAACAAGGGCACGATGTTCGCCTCACTATCTCCTTTCAACATCGTCAAGCAGTTTAAACGATCTCTTTTTTTTTTTTTTCACGAAATTTTCGAGGTCCGATTATTGGACCGAATAGAGAATCACTCATTCGTTTGAATCCAAAATTCATCTAACTTGTGGTATTCGTCGACGGTGAGCGTGTGTCTGAGGAGGTCAGTAATGAAGGCGACAATTTGGTACTGCAATCAAATAAATTAAAAACTGATACATTTACGTTTCTTGGCGCACACAACTTTTTCACTTCGAAAACCAGTGGAAAATTTTTAGAGCTATAATCCGTTCGCTGAATGAAAAGTTAACAAAAATCAAAAACTGCTTCTTTCTTGCAGTAGAAGAACTTAATACAAACACATATTCGTGAAAATATTAAGCAAATTTTCATTTAGATATTGGAGAGAAGAAATTGAATTTTGCAACTGACAGATAGTAATTAATTTGATAAATGTATTGCATACAGATGATATGCTGAAAACGAGCAAAAAATGCAATAAATAAAAGAAACAAAAGTTAATTACGAACCTATCTTTAGATAGCTCAGTGCCAATGCCTTGTGCATTGGTGAATGCACCAACAGTTTTGAGATCATGAATCTTATGTTTGGTGCTGACTGATGACGACGTAGTAATACCACCAGAAGAAGATTGCAATGCAGCCGAAACGACTGCAGAGGTCGGATTGCTAATCCCGAATGGCTGCATCATATAATTCGGATTATAATTGTACATCATCGAAACGCCACCACTTCCACCCGCAACTCCAACTCCTCCCACAGCTGGACGCACTGCTGAAAGGTTGTTGACTTAGAGACAGGCCACTTTGATCTTTTTTATGAAAGCATTCAAGATGATGATGCGAAACGCATTGAAAATGGTCATAAAACGATTCGTATACCATTAGTGAAAGTAGCTGGATCGATACCAACAAATGGAGGAATAGCAGGTGAAAATGAGATGAGCGGAGTGGTTGTAGCGGATGACGATGAGACACAAATCGGTTTCATCTCTCTTCTTGCTGAAACAATATTCGTAACATTCGAACAAATTATTTCATTATTTAAACTCAACCAGTGAGCCGTGACAAAATGCCAATAAGCAGGAAACATTTAAAAACAAAAATACACTGAACAAAGAAGTGTTGAAAATGAATGAATAAAAACGTACAGTCAGTAGATAAAGTCGGAATATGATTCGTGGATGTAATAGAATCATTAATTGGACGTATTGATGATTGATTTGTAGATGCATTTTTGGATGATGGCAGTAAGTTGGCAGATAAGGACGAGGATGGTACTGATTGCAAGTCGACCGTATTCGACGCTGTAGTACTGACGGCAGACGCATCGCTACGAACTTTGTCGCTGTTAACCGGTAAGCTGAATTTGAACTGATTTCTACACTGACATCAAATAGCGATTCAATGAATGCCTTTAGTTGTTGCCGTTGTACTCTGATCCAAATAAAGTTTCATTCATAAATATTGAAATAAATTCACGCCAACAACACTCATAACCCATTATTTTGTGGATTAAAATCGAGGGATTCAAATTTGAGAATGAAATATTAAAACCGCATTAAAAATCGAACGATTCAAAAAGATTTACCTCAACGAGACCACTGGACTTCGTGTGGAAGCGACAAGTTTCATCCTCTCCGAGCAACGATCCTCTGTTTTGTCAACGACCTGACCGAACGAATCATGTCATGAATATGTATGTTTCAATGCTAATTGCAGATAGACTCTCAAAATTTGGTGTATCAACTGATTAGCAATAAAAATTCGTGTTATCACATGGTGTGCTTCAGCTGTATTACAAGTACAGCTGTTCTGGTTGACAAGTGACTGTAACAAACCTCTTTCTCAAGTGTTGGTGCATCATCTGAAATATCTGAGAACACCGGCGATCCGGCACTCGTATGAGAGTTACCAGCCAAACTGAAAGAATGCACTCCTGAATGTTTGTCGTCGTCTATCGCACGACTATTAGAAGCTGCTCTACATGATCAACTTAACCAGTCATTATTTGTGACAAGCATTCTATTCAAAACCAGAGGTAATTTTTATCGAATGCAATTCCCTTCTAAGTTAACGACAAAAAATCATCGGTATGGGTCTTCTATCAGATATTATACCGATATTTCGTTACATGAATGAAAATTCAATGACATTTCGATTAAAACCGATTTTGATTCCAATTGAAGAAATAATCAACAACTGATTTATAAATTCGAAGAAACGCCATAAAACAACACAATTTCGTTTCAATAACTAGAATGAACTTCAATGAACCTTGTTGAGGGATGTGCACTGCTAGTGGTGTTGGTGTTGTGCTGTTGTGACGATATCGATGAGAAACTTGAACCGATGACACCCTCTCCACTCGAAAGACTTCCTTCTGATACCATCTTCTCCATTGCATCCAGAGCAGTCGGTATTGATGAAGCTTTGCCCACTTCACAAACTGATGCTGCTCTACTCTCAAAACCTGCAGGCATTCTTCATTACAACACGCAAAATTTAAAAAACACAACCCCAGAAAACTGATCGAAAATGGTTTCGTCATGTGATTAACAACAAAAACGAGAAATTATTTTAAACTCGTCAAAAAACAACAACAACCTTTTGACGTTGTCAAACCACCACTACGGTGGCCATCCAGAAAATCCCTTTTCGATTCTTCAGGATTTGTTCGACGAGCAACCTGTAATTGGATGAGAATACATTCCTACAAAATTTTTGGAATCTTGGACAAGTTCTTGCGACTAGAAAACATTCCTACTAAGACCAGGATGAATACAACAAACTTGGCAATCTAAAATTCAAGCTTAAGAAATAGTTGGGAAATGAATGCGCTCACCTGAAAGAGCTCATGGATACTGCGCTCTTCTGAGTTGCTGAGCTGAGGTCGAAGAGCATCCTTGGAAGGCGAAGGAGTGGTCTGTGTGCTAGCATTACAAGAAGTTGACTGAAACATTGAGGACGCTTGCTCTAATCCGGACATCGGCTCTGTGTATGCATCTCGACATAGTTGCGTTCGTATCGCATCTGTCTGCGAACCCATCGTTTCAGTGTAGATCTGAATTAAGCATTTTTGTTCTGAATTCAATTCTCATCAATTATAAACTAATATGGCACTGAATAGAGAATTACTAAGACAAATGAATGATTGAGATACATCTACAGAATTGCCATTTTAACAAAACAAAATAACACTAATGATGATAATAAAATTGAAAGACCGCTCGTCTAAATTGATTGAAGTGATGCGGATAATGCATTGATAATTGAGCGCTCGTATCAAAATAATAGCCACATCCGGCAACTGGACAACAAATCATTTGCGTTTGATTCAATTCACGAAGTTGTGCCAGTCCACTTGTCGTACCAATTGCCGTATTACCAATACCATATAAAGGATCACTGCCACCCGCACCACACAGCCATGATACTGGTGATTGTGACTGCGACATCTCTTCATCGTTTTGAAGTTCCATACCGTGATCTAGGTGATTATCATCAGATTATATTCATTCATGTTCGACTGCGAACGGAATCATTCCATTTATCTTCTTTACATCATATGATTAAGGTGAATGATACAAAACAATTTTACACGAATCGAGTAGCTGTGAAACCTTCAATGAAAAAATTGATACGATTGATAGTTTCAATGAGTCGTCAACTTACTGCTTAACTCGTTAGTACTCAATGAACATGATGCTATTTTACGTGTTTTCGCATCAGCCGATCCATTGGGTGTACCAACTGATAAAGTGCGATTATTGCTGGAAGAACTTGTTCACTTCATATGTTGAAATATTATAATTATTTTTTAGACATATGACGGAAAAAGTACGGCGAAGGTACGATAAAGAATGAGAAAACAGTACAGAGTTATCGTTGCGGAAAGAGATAGACGTTGACTGCAGATATGATGCCAACCAAAAATGAAAGAAACTAAAGAAACCGTTGGCTTTTGATTCGTTGTTTTGAAGGAGTAGTTCCATTACTTCGATCATGTGATGATACGTTGGTGGTACTCGTTTCGAATGCCGTATCACCATTAACGTTCGCATTCACAATTGGCCTAAGCAATCGTGTCGTCAGACTACAGTTGACTGCATGGATGCAGTATCATTCAGATTTCTAATCGCAGCGAAAACTGCGTTGTACCATGATCAGCAATCATTCAACAATTTCATTCATAAATGATCAGCTTTTTTCTACATCAGCAGCAAATATCATTTTCAGTAACAAACGAGAGAGTGTGGTGATAAAAAGATGGAATTATTCCAGTTTTACCTTTAAAAAAAGAAACGGAAGCAAGAACATGCAGCCATAATTCTAATCAGTGAAACACGATCTTGAATGAAGAATTTCAGTGTTGAAAAGAATACCTTTTGTTCTGAAAAGACTGATGAAGCGAGGGCAAACCATCACCCAAAATGCCATACAATTCACGTCCATTCCAATTCGTCACGAAATACAATGAGTCGGATGTTTGTCCTGCAACAATATCATATTCAGAAATCAGACACAACCCAGGTTAGACAATAACAGAAGAACTCCTTATCGTTAGAGCTAGACGACAAATTGTAACCGTAAGCGATCTTATGCACAACTGAAGCAAAACTCGATACATTCACCATATCACAGTACATGGAAATATGAATCTTTCGAATCGAAATTCTCCCAATAAACCATCGAGAAGACTTAAACCAGATATTCTAACAGTTTCATACTAAAAAAACACAAACAAAAATATCAATCCGTTCTAAAATCCACATCATCCATACAACTCATTAAGGTATTGCTAATGAATGTTACTAACAAAGAAGAGGAAGAAAACCAACCTGGCACCTTGGCCAACACAGTAAAATCAAGACAGTGTGTGGAACCAACTGTTACTTCAACGTCATCTTCATTGGTCTGCACTGATTTCGTACTCACATTCGACGACTTATCGCGTGTGTTCTGTATGAGCACAAACATAGCAAGTTCTATGGATGATAAGCAAATTTGAATACAATAATCACAGAATGGTCTTTATCTATAGAAACGGCACTAAAAATGAGTAAATCACGACACTTAAATGAGAATATCTTGATGCTGAGAACCAATCGATTTTTATTGACGCAAAACAAAAACGAACATTACGGATGGATATATTTACCTGCTTTTTGCGTTTGACAGCTGCTTCGGTGGATATGTTGCTGATAGTAGGAGCAAGCGACGAGCTGGTGCTTGTGGTTGGATTATTCGCCGCTTGCAGTTGCGTTCCATCACTATCATCTCCACTGATCCGACGTTTCTTTCGGTTTTTGGTTTTGCTATAGGATGGTGATGCGCTGTTATTGACAGCTGATGTTCTGAATTTTTCATATTTATTAATTTTGAAAATTACTTACAACATGAAATCTGCATCCGATCGTTCGTTATGCTACATGTAAAAATAATCCGATACCTAGAAATCGTTCAAGCAAACAAAAGAAAATTGCGAAATAACTAATTTAATTATCACTGATACTACTCACCCAACATTATCGACGACACTGCTTGCCGCAGTAGATGCCACTTTGCTACTACCCTCTGATTCGTCTTTAATTTTTTTAATCTACAAAGCATTCAAACATTGGCAGGCTCACGGCATATAATTTATAACAACAATAAATTGTAGCATCTTTTTCGACGAGCTTATTTTTTTTGATGAGTAGTTTTACACTTCTTTCAAAAGGAGAAACACTCATAAACGAAATATTAGCAATTCTTGTGACCTGTGAGATCGCAGCTGAGCATGATCTATTATTACTATTATTGGCATTAACTGCTTGATGATTTGAGCGATGATATGCTGGTGTTGTTGTCGTCGTAACATTATTTTCATCAATACCCGTTGATGAGTTCACATTTTTAGAAGAAATCAGCGCAGCTGAAAAGGGTTATCTAAATCCAAAACAAAGTACACCGTGAAAATGTCATCCATTAAATATTATCCCATAAAACGGCAGCATCTACGATACCCATATCGAATAAGTGATATCACAGAATTTACAACAAAACTGCATTATCTCTCGAAATAGCAATGAAGTAAATTGAATACAGAACCCATTATGCAAAACACAACGTTCAAGACTTCACTCCTTATTAGTGATGGGATCCGACCGACAGTCCGTCGGAATTCCGACTGCTAGAATGACGAAATGCCAACTCGAGCGGATTCCGACCAACCGAAATTTCGCTCGGAACCCATCACTACTCCATACACAGCATTCAATGCCGCACACCTCTTCATCCTCAATTGCATTCGCTCAAAATGAGCGCTTCATAGCTTTTCTTTCCTATTACACCCTTGTCGGGTGGTAATGAACAAATGATTCATTCCAAATAGGTATGTGTATTCATTTACTCGAATAGCTTTTTCTATTAGCTACCTTCCGACCATATTCTCCTATTTGAAAACAATTACGATCGTTAACAACATGGGTGGTCATCGGAAAGCTGTACAGAAGCGTTACAATACCGCGAACAGCTATTATATCGTTTAATTTGTAGGCAATTATGACAACAAGCACGGAATAATCACTTGTAGAATGTAGTAACGATGCATGCTTACTATTGTGTTCATGTTGCTGCTGTGACTTTGAATGTGCGAACTTTGTCGTTCCATTAATGATTCCATCCAAGGAAGCATTCTCATCCACAGATGGCCTTGAACAAACATGGCATTTGGTTACACTTCTTGTTAATGAATAATCGTGCCATTATCTCACAACAGTTCTAATAGATGAATTCTTAATTTAAATCAGTCTGTTGCCTTGATAAATTCTAGTTTACTGATGCATCATTCAGCTCTACGCTACAACAACTGCAACAGAATTGGAAAACTGAAACAGAATTTCGACGAACAAAATTACGATGAAAATAAAACATAACTGAACATCAACAATATTAGTAATATGCAAATTTCAATTTTCAATAATATTCCAGTTCTTTTTTGCACATCATTAATAGTCGTTCATATATGACTAATTCGCACTGAAAAGAATCAAAAACAAGGAATTGAATTAATCAACCAATTTAATAGATTCTGCTGCAGTGCAGATGACGACGCGCTATGTGAATGCGTTCCGCTCACCGATTCGTCCTCGTCATCAATCTCGCCTTCTTCCTTACACAGCTCCTCGTCATCTGAATTATCAAACGGCGCACTTCTTCATTTTTTATCATTGCACATTTATATTTACCGCAATGTTAATTCAAATCTACAAACCGTCGGAGAGTTTCTCACTCGTGAATGTAGTTGCGGCCATAGGATTGTGTGTCGTTCGAATAGTCACCTTTAAGGGATCATCCCGGAGTGTAGCTGACGCCATTTTTGATGTGGTTCCATCGTTGAAAAAATTCTTTTTCTGCTCAGGATCAACGGGATGCTTTTCAACAACTAAAACATGTTGCATTCACCGTTACATACGTCCATAACAAGCATGCCAATTAAATTGTCATTAATGACGTTTAGTGGTTGCGTATTCCAAGAACTACTGCAGATGATCGAATAAATGCAACCTTATAAATTTAAAAACATCTATCACTGATAGGAATACAAACGATCAGATGTTCACAAACGATTTTTTTCACTTAAATTTTGAAATAAACCAATCGAGTGATACCATTCGTTTTAATCTCCATTCGTATTGATTGTGCCAATTAATCAAATCACTTTATGCACACTTCGTTATTATTCAAAAAAAACAACTATGCTTTTACATGAGAATAATAAACAAAAAAGATACGCGCAAAGTAGGTTTCAAATCCGCGAAATAATCGTTCTGCATTGGCAGTGAATGTGATCAACAGCCTTTTCTATGTTTTTGCGGTTTGCTAATGTTTTTTAACGTGGATATTTAACAGACATCTTGCAAATACGGAGATAAGATTTGTGAAAACAGCGATGTGTTAGGAATTGTGCATGAATACGGTAAATGAACGACGCCAGCAAAAAAATATTTCATTGCAAAAATTAGTATTAAGCGCAAAATTGAATTGCACTGCCAAACCGCAACGCGACTACACATTAGCATTACGCAGAAAGCACCTCAATCTGCTTCATTCATTCAACTGAAAGTCTTCAATGAGAACTGCTAGGTCCGTAGGGTATTAGATCACTACTGCCTTACATGGGTAACGCTCGCTGACACCATCTTAACATGCAAGTCACTTTATCCAACAAACTCAACACACAATGTATTTCCCAAGCAGTGTTCAGCTGCTCGATAAAAAATTCATCTGAATACGCATTTCAATTTCGCTACAATAAACTAACACCCTTTCCTCACGCTTATCATGTATTTCAACGATCGTTAAAAGTCGCAGTTTTGGAGAAAAGGTAAAGATACGATCAAATTATCAAAGCAAGCAAATGAATTCTCACAGAAGATATTGTTGATAAAAGATCTGCCTACAGAGTACAAATGCGCATCACTTCTAAAGTGTACAACATCAATATTGCTAGCATCGACTTGCTGTTACCCAAATGGCACACAAATGGCACACAAGTATAAAACTTTATTGTGGTGTCCTTTCCAACAGTTACGCAATTAAGCTCCAAACGAACGCTGTTCATAGATCAGAAAATAAATGAGCGATACACCGAACGCGGTGAAGCGTGTTGCACGAAAAATGCAGCAATTAACAATGAAATGAATGAAATCGAAGTTTTTAGCACATCAATATTGTTATTATTTGAGCAATCAAATATTGCTAATTTTTGCAAATCAGTGGTTTTGTTCTTCGCAACTCTTTGCACCTTGTGGTAAGTGCGTAATCAAAGCGTTCTCTGTAACTGCAAAGTCTACATAAAGACCTCACGACATTCACGCCAGAATCTTGCTGCATTTGCTCACAACTCCCTTTGGCACCTATGAAAGGCATGTAACGTTCAAATTTGCTCGCGTTATTACTCCACTTTAATTTCTTATCATCCACCTCGATTAGAACCCAGTTAGGTAAAAGTGAATTTTTAAAATAATTCAGATATCTGACGGCTAAGCACTTAATCCTTTTCAGCTCCTTTGTAACTATAAGCAGGAAATTTTAGGTACAGATGGTGTAGTGCCATGATATGAACTGAAATTCAACTTTAGAAATGCTTCTTAGGATAGCCTTTGGAAAATGAGAAGCCGAATAAAATACAACTTCGGAAATGTGAGAATTTAAAATGTTAATTGGGACTAGGATCAAAATTTTGTGGAACATATGATCACAGTGATATTCGAATTAAAAATTTTAATGATGATATCCGACTTTCAAAATTTCTATTCTTTAAATTACATCAACAGCGCTTATCGCCCATGATTTCTACGAGGCGTCTGAATGTATTTTAACTTCCAGAAAATAACCAATAGAGAGTGAGCTAAATCCGATTCCAGTTGAACTATCAAAGAAAACCCGATAAAGTAGAAAGAGTATGTTTAAACAATTGATATTATTTTAGTCATCGGATTATGATAGCTCAAAAAGGCATCGCTAGGATAATCAATCAAAAATGTCAGTATTAAATAAAACAAATTTCTTAAACTTATAAATGTATATAATTGCTACGGGTTTTACCAACCAGCATAGGATTACTAGACTTTTTGTAAGTAATGAGATGATGTCAAAAAAGGAATGATTGTACGTAATGAGATGAAATGAGGAAAGTGCTGCGGCTAACCGTCGTTAGAGGCGTTGAAGTTGAGTTTGTGGGGTAGATTGGTGGCGTGATAGGAGGATGATGTTGTGGTTGAAGCACTGACTGGATGTGTGCCAACAGTAGCTGTTGAATCGAGCATAGTGTTAACGGAAGAAATGCTGGAAGTAGACGTGTCGGTTCCGATAGATGTAGCAGTAAGGTTATTATTATTGTAAGCAGTGGTGTTGCCATTGGCGTCATCGATCATCAGTCGGTCATCTTCCTCATCGAATGCATCACCCATAATCAAAACTACATAAACGTTTCGGTGATTATTGCTTTATTCAACCGATCAATTGCAAGCACTCTGCAATATAGCATTTGACACACATGCATTCACAAATCAACAAATTGAAACGATTCGAACACGATTCATTAATCTCAACTGATCTGATTAAACTTTCTCTTATAAATAGATCAATCAATATGATCCTAAATTCGTACACGTGTCATAAACCACCGGAAATATTTCAACAAACATCGTCTCAGAAACTTCCTCTTTCGGAAACGCACACGAACTCGGCCGTTTAATACACCATTTTAAACTAGATCAAAGGTGTATCACAAATTAAAATGTAAGCCTCAGACTAAAAATCAATTCGATCAGAACGAGCTTGAAAAAAAGGAAATTCATCAAATGCAGAAACACTCAAACACTACTGAAGTGGAAATAACTAAATTAGCTTCGTGCTGAAGAAAATAACCAGAAAGGAACTTAGATCAACTGAAGCTGATGTCATCTATCGAACCTAATCACAACAATCATTTGCGACAAGGTATAAATATGCATAGTGATAAAAACATGAGAACAACACACATCAATAAAACAGTAATGAAATTATACAAAAATGTTTGATTTCAGTAACTGAATCGATGAAAAATAAAAGCAAAATAATTTCAAAATACGAAATGTGAATGGATCATTAACGCTTCAATTTAGACGAAACTTAAAACAAAAACAAAAGAGAATGTATTGAATAGACTGCAATTAGCAAATAATGCTACATAAATACTATTGTGAAACACAGCCCACTGCACTAATACGCATTCAATTCTCTACAAAATGAAGCATTTTTAGTTTCTAACAATGTAAATAATGAGTACCTCGAATTACATGGTAGATAATCATCACTAAATAATGAATTAACGATATTTTTCAAAATAATGAGATGATAGCACATTGATATCATGATGTAAAAGGGTGATACGCAGAAGCGAAGATATGATATAACTTACGATAGACCATATTAGGGACTAACATATATTTTAGCAGATATCATAAAAAACATTATGATTCAAAATAAATATTATATAAACTAAGATCCTAATAATAAAATTAATAATACCAATTGAATAGCGTTGCGAACAGCCGTATATAGTGTGACATGACGACAGAAGTATGAAAACAGAATAAAAAACATTAATATTATAATCAAGCTTAACAATGAAGTCAGTAACCACTATTGGTTTCCATTAAATTGATATATTCATCCGAATTATGAGCTATGAGGTGAGTAGGTTATTTTTGAAGTGACCTTCAACGAAAAGCTTCATTTGATCTGAAAGGCAACAAATTAATCGCAAACAGCAATGAATCGCTAAAACACTTTTACCAAATCAAACATCTATACTTGAGGCGAATGATTCAGAATGTTGCGACATAACAGCAACTTAATATAACATGCGCAGTGTTTTTCACGTTACGGCACAAATATCCTAATAATTCTGATTCCATTCAGTACGCCATGTCAACCGATTCATTGAACGGTTGGAAGCAAATGATCGATGAGTATGAGAACACTGTTGTCCGATAGACGTAATCTCAAATATACGATGAAAATGAAGAGAAAAATACTCACGGGAAAAGGGTGGACTTTTCAGGCACACCATTCTGGACAATATCATTTTGACAGCACTTTTAATTACGGGAAAAAATTAATTCTTCGAGAAATATGCTCAACTTACATTGTTTGCAGTTAATATTCTCAAGAAGCTGAAACATAGCTTGAAGTATTCAAGCAATAAAAATGTTTTAATTGCTTTCAAGCTGAATGCTCGATTCATACATTCAATAAATAAAATTAACAATGAAAAAATTTTACGAAGTGTCATATTGAAGAGAACCACACTACTGCGAACAGTGAAAAAGAGAGCATTGCAAAATGTTTCAATAGAATATAAACAACTCACAAAAAAATCTGCACAATGACGTTACAGCAAAACCCGTGATAAATCAACATTGTGACGCTAAATAATCGTCAAAACGTTGATTCAAGTGCATACAAGACAACCATGAATGGTTAAAACTTCAACGAATTTTATGCAAATATAAAATAACAGTTTTACATCTAATCAGATGACCTTTCTCAGTAAACATTATGCGATAGTAGTTTGCTACAATAGTAGATAATAAACGACGAAAACGAATTTTCAATTTCATAATTTCTGGAGTAGCAAATATTAAAATGTTTGAGAATAAAATCTGGTGACTAATCTAAACCGATCGTTCTGACGCTCTCGCATATCATCCCTCCTTTTGCTCTTATGGCAGACCCCATTTCCTGTGCAGCAATCTGCGCGATTCCCACTCTTCAACAGTCACCGACCGAGATAGTTTTATCCACTGGATACCAGTTCTATGAAATATGTCAAGAACAAGTATCTTCGAACAATACAACCCGTACTTCTCAAAGCGAGAGCCATCAGCAAAATCAGAAAATTTCGTAAACGGCTTACTTTGAGATGGAGAAACGAAAATAAAAGAGTAAAAGCATGGAACAGATGTTTATTCAGACATCTGTTGAGAGCAATTTCGTCTGACATGTACTTGGCATATTAACTTCCTTTAAAACTATAGGTGCTTGTGAAAGACGAGCTTGTTGCCTTTTGTAATAAAAGTCCAATGTTAACACACTTAAAATATCTTTTCATTTCAGGTTCTCTTTGGCAATGACCACAACCTAAGACGAATTAAGATGCTCTAGAGTAGGAGTTCTAAATAAACATGTATAATACGGCTCAAATAATTGAAGAAGTGCTCTATAAAAACTGCCATTAGAGTTATAATTTTTAAAAATCATTGCAATTCTTCAATTCCTTTGAAACAATCCCATGTTCCTCCTTCTACAGCCTCTTCCTCAAGATAAATGCAATTAGATAACGAATAATTAACAAAAAATAAGAAACAAACACTTTTTCCAACATTAGTAATAATGGCAACGAAATAAAACGAGCATTAAAAACTACCGAACCGCTCACACCTTCACTGCAAATACGCACGTGTGCACCTGGAACGATTTTTCAAATTTGAACCTTTCCATCTGTCGTAGCACAAATGCCATCAAAATCGAATTCGGTATGTTTTAATAGAAGCGGTCTAGAACACAAGTAATTGAGAGTTATCACTGTCGAAGTAAACGTTCACGTTTGATGATCGAAGTGTTTACCAAAATGGGTAATGGCATATCCAGCGCGCAGGAGGTGCTCACTTTCCCCCTTGGAGAGTGCAGGAAAACGGAAAAAGAAGAGGGAAAGTAAAGGAAAAAGAGGTGGAAGGGCGAAGGAAGTGCGAAAAAGAAGGAGGAGAACAAAGAATGGATAGAAGAGAAAACAAACGTAGAAAAATCCGCGTCAAAATTCAGCCATTTTCTGGATGAGACCATTGTGCTCCCCCTCCCCGCCCAGAAAAATGCTGGTTACGCCACTGCTCATGAAACACCTTGATCAGGGAACTAAAGAATCATACAACTCTAAAATATTAAAGAAATACACTTTCATCCTTGAGCCAAAACACCAGTTCCATCAAAATTTATGGGCATTCTTATGTGGTTGTTTCTGGGGCGAATGCTTTTTGCATATGACATAAATTTCGTGCAAAATGGTGACTCATGCAAACCAATATCACACTGAATCGAACTTTATATGTTATGAAATCAACAAGATCTTGTAAATATTTTTCAAATTCTTTTTTTTTCCGACAGTCTTCTGATGAATTGATAAATCATCTGCAGATAGGAGATGTCAACCTTATCAAGCTCACGGTTATTCAAACCATCTTCATGCATTCGATTTAGAATATTTTCCTATTTGATTTTATAATCAGCCAATATGGGTTAGAACCCTTGTTTTTGTATAAAAATCTCATACCAATAGAAATTTCTCAGATGTCACATTCCAACGCCACGAATTCACCTCAAAATTCCAGGTGTATATTATCAAACTTCCACACAGCCAGTGCACTTTCAGTTCCAATGAATGATAGTCGGTTGTCTACACAGAATTCCTTGTTATCTTGTACCACTTGATTCGTTTCAAGAATGCTTACAAGCTCTCGTAATTACAGTCGTGTGAGTGCTCATGACAACATGACTGATACAATTTTTTGCTGTTACTACGAAATATCAGCACAATTGTGTTACTGCATCAGAAGTATCAAAATTCTACACGCGCTGTGCTCTCAAAACAATCGAAATTGCAAACTTAACGGGCAATGGAGGGAATCTTTCAAGAAACCATCAAGCATCATCTGATCTTGATTAATTCTTACAATTCATTTCATTCAAAAAAAACGTATCCGATTGTTCGATGAAGCGTTATTAAAGAACCTGCAGTTCGAATGAAGCTAAAAAGACTTTTTTGCTATCCAAGAACTCATTTTTAGAAAATTCCGATCTTATAAATTTTTTTTGGAAACTCTCGAGTATTTGTTTAATCTCATCTGAAGGAACAAAAATAGCTACTCGGAGAAAACAGAGTGACTATATAAATTTGCCCTGACGTGGATCGAGTGTTGTAAGATAACAAAAAATTCTACGCGGATAGCTGGAAAATATTCACTATGATGAAAGATATATTCAGTGTGGGAATCAACAGCTGGGATTTCAGAATAAAGTTTGCGATATCTGCGAAATTTCTTTCCGTACGTCACGTTGAAAACGAAGATTCCAACCCATATTCTCTGATTGTACAACTGAATAAGAAAATCGAATACATCAAGATGATACGAGCAATCATAGGCTTGAGACCTCCAACCAAAAGCCTTGTCTACTTGTGACTGGGGTCATCAGTGCGGTTCAACCGTCTCGGCACAAGTAACAAGAGACGCTCCCTCTGGGGTTAGTGCCCTAGCGTCGTTAGCTGCGGACCTACATCAGCAATGAACGACATCAACGATTCTTCATCGACTACGGCGGAGCCGCTCGTCATGTTGTTACAGCAACAACCGCAGCAAATGCAGCAGTTCAGCACGGTTCTGACTTTACTACAGCAACAAATGGCCGACCATCGAACGAACACTCCTCGACAGCCATCGACGGTAATCGCGTCGTCCGCCATGGATTCAGTGCTCAAGAATACCATCACTACCTTTTCGTATGCGCCAGATGAGGATATCACATTCGCAGCATGGTATAAACGCTATGAAGATATCTTCAAGGTAGATGGTAAAAAATCTAGACGATGCCGCAAGAGTTCGTTTTCTCTTGAGAAAGTTGGATGCGGTCGCATATGAAAAACACTCCAACTACATCCTGCCGCACCAAACTCGAGATATACAATTCGACGAGACGGTTACGATCCTAAAGGATATCTTCGGTCCACGAATATCAGCGTTCAACCAACGTTATCAGTGTCTCAAGATAACGAAAAACGACCGTAACGACATCATTACATTGGCGAAATCGTTAATCGAGAGTGCGAGAAATTCCGACTAGGCGAATTGACTGCCGAACAATTCAAATGCCTAATCTTCGTCTGTGGACTTCAATCACCATCCGACGCGGAATACTGACTTCAGCTACTCAACAAAATCGACTCAGACAATCAAGTAACGCTAAATAGTCTCATCGCACACTACCGCCATCTCGTCACGCTCAAACGCGACACCAAAACGGTTGAACACTCCAGTGGTTTACATGCAACTGTTAACAAAACAAAACTACGTCATAAACCACGATCAGCACAAATAAACCACCCATCAAAACCAACGAGACCAAAGGACTGTTCAACAAAGAATATTCCTGAAAGTCCATGTTGGCAATGTGGAGGTGTTCACTACGTAAAGGATTGTTCATACAATCAACACAAATGCACAACATGCGGAATAGTTGGCCACAAGGAAGGCTACTGCAATTTCAATCGGAAGCATAATCAACGCAGTCGCCATATCGCTCGTCCGGCGTTCACTGCATCTTCACATCACAAGACACTCATCAACGACGCCGATATACCACTATTCAATTAGATAGCAGGCCAATTCGATTCCAAATCGACACCGGTTAAGGCATCACTATTATGTCCAAATCATCTTGGAAACAGATCGGTGCACCCAAACTGTCGCAAGCTACAAAGGAGGCATCAGACGCTTCAAACAACCTGTTGCAATTCTCAGGCCAGTTCTCGCAGACAGTGAACTTCAACGGCACAAGCGCACATGAACTTGCTAAAAACAAGAACGTTCACAGCTTGCTTGGCCTCGACTTCCTGAATAAACTCAATCTGTGGGATCTTAACCAGCTTGGTGGTAATGTTCGACGATCAACATCAGTTCATCAAGTGTGCAATCAGCAAAGATCATCGATCAAACAACCCTATTACCAATTCGACCCACAACAATCCTATCCCGAAGTCTGCGACAGTTCTCTCGGACATTGCACCAAGAGCAGAGTAACTCTACACCTCCATCCGAATGCCAGACCAATATTCCGCCTCAAACGACCAGTACCTTATGCAGTACGAGAAGCAGTAGAACAAGAATTGGATCGTCTCGAAGAACAAGGAGTTATATCAAGGGTCGACTATTCTGAATGGGCGGCTCCAAATGTAGTTGTAAAAAAGGCATCAGGAGCAATCCGCATCTGTGCAGACTTTTCAGCTGGCTTAAACGATGCCTTAGAACTACACTCCTATCCACTACCACTGCCCGAAGATATATTTGCAACACTCAACGAAAGCCAGTTCTTCTCTCAAATCGACTTCGCCGACACATACCTTCTGATCGAAGTGGACGATCACTCGAAGAAACTCCTCACGCATCGAGGATTATATCGCTACAATCGTCGTCCCTTCGGAGTCAAATCAGCACCAGGTATATTTCAACAGATAATGGATAATATGCTCGCTGGAATCAAGGGTGCAGTCGCATATCTTGATGATGTAATCATTGTTGGACGCAACAGAGAAGAACATCTATCAAATCTTCATGCTGTCTTCAAACGAATCAAAGAATTTGGCTTCCACATCAAATTATCAAAATGCAACTTCTTCATGCCTTCCGTCAAATACCTTGGCTTCATCATCAGCTCTCGAGGTCGTTAGCCAGATCCTCAAAAAATTGAAGCAATACAGAAGATGCCCCCTCCATCCGACATCACCACATTGCGGTCATTTCTGGGTCTTCTCAACTACTATGGATCGTTTGTCAAAGAAAATTGAGATCTTCGAGCTCCCTTTGATAAATTGCTGAAGAAAGATGCAAAATAGAATTGGTCGAAAGATTGTCAAGAGGCATTCGAGCGAAGCAAGACAATTCTGCGTTCAGACCTGCTACTGACACATTACGATCCATCAAATCCGATCAACATCGCTGCAGACGCATCCAACAAAGGAATCGGTGCAGTTATCAGCCATCGATTCGAAAATGGCTCCGAGAAAGCAATCGCTCACGCCTCCCGATCACTCACGATAGCAGAGCAACACTGCAGTCAGATCGAAAAGGAGGCTCTCGCTTTCGTTTTCGCGGTAAAAAAATTCCATCGAATGATACACGGTAGGCATTTCACACTCCTCACTGATCACAAACCACTCCTCGCTGTGTTCGGTTCCAAGAAAGGAATTCCAGTGTACACTGCCAATCGTTTACAAAGATGGGCAACCGTCCATCTAGGATATGATTTCACCATCGAACACCGATCAACAACTTCATTCGGCCAGGCTGACGCCCTCTCACGACTCATACAACAACAAACTTCAATTAACGAAGACATCGTCGTCGCAACAATAAATGTCGAAGAAGATGCTCATCGCTTGCTTAACGATGCTGTACAATCTCTCCCATTCACCGCAAAACAAGTCGCAGATGCAACGCAAAAAGACCACCTTCTAAAAAAGATAATCAAATTCGTTAATTCCAGGTGGCCCAAACAAATCAACAATCGGCAATTGCAACAACTGTTCAATCGACGCTACTCCTTCTGCATCACCAATGAATTTCTTTTGACGGCAGATCGCGTTATCATTCAGAATGTCTACCAACAAAAAGTGCTGAAACAATTGCATGAAGGACATCCTGGGATAAACAGAATGAAAACCCTAGCTCGCAGTTACGTCTATTGGCCAGGTATTGATAACGATATTGAAAATACTGTCAGACAATGTGAACCATGTAAACTAGCATCTAAAGCTCCCGTCAAGGCCCCTCTTGCCTCATGGTCACAACCAGATAAGCCTTGGTCACGAATCCATGTGGATTATGCGGGCCCTTTAGAGGACAGTTTTTCCTTGTCATCGTTGACTCCTTCTCGAAGTGGTCACAAATATTCATGACAGACCGCACAACAATCTCGACCACCCTGCGTTTCTTGCGCCAACTCTTTGCTCAGTTTGGCATGCCAGAGGTGTTCGTCAGTGATAACGATACACTGTTTACATCATCTCAATTTGCTGACTTCTGTAACATGAATGGTATTGAACATATCTTCTCACCACCCTTCCATCCACAGTCAAACGGTCAAGCAGAAAGATTTGTCGATACATTCAAGAGAACACCTTGCAAATTCAAAGGGGAGGAGACCAATTCAGAAGCACTTCAGACATTTCTTCTGAGCTACAGAACAACTCCGAGCCCAACTTTGAACAATCAGTCTCCAGCGGAACTACTAGGAAGACGCTTACGCACATCAATGGATTTGTTCGACCCACTACGCCTACCACACCACGACGCAACAGGGTAATGGAGAATCAGTTTAAGAAAAAGCATGGCGCACGTGACAGATCATTCGCCAAAGGTGATCTTGTTTATGTTCGAAGTTATCGCGGTCAGCAAAGGGAATGGAAAAAGAGAATAGTCGTCAAGAGAAGAGGAAGAGTGCTATATGATGTTCAGGTTGGTACAAATCTTTGGAAGAGACGCAAATCAACTGCTCAAAAGAGAACTTGACAAACAACAGTACTCAGGTAACGAGACATTGAATTTGCTCCTCGACACCTTCCATGCCAACCCAATTCCAACACCTGACCCTTCCCCACAACAACACTCGCCAGCTGTACCAGTCCGACGCTCCACTCGGATTCATCGTCGTCCACAACGTTTGGTCGTCAATCCAAGGAAGAAATCGTACGACTCAACAGCTCAAGGCGTAGATGTTGTGTAATGATCGACTTAGCATATGTGATCAAATTAGCATACGTGATCTGCTGATTTGTATATGAGTTGTCGTCTTATTGTTAGAAATTTACATATAAAAAACTCTATATAAGGGCGAGATTTCATTGTCTTGGTTTTGCTCCCGAGTGAAGTATTGTCTTTTCATCGTCTCGTGTTTTCTCGTCGTTCCAGCAGTCATCAGTTAGTCTCAACGATATAACACCAATCAAAATTTGTTGTCATAAATTTAATTATTTATGTGTCTCTCGAACAAGAAAATTGACAATTCTAAAATGCTACGGGTAAATACGTTTCATTTCAACAGAACAAAACTCGGTGCAAAATTTTGCACCACTAAAACTGCATCTTGAGCTGTTCGAACTTTTAGTATGATGATCGTCATTGAACGCTTCTTCTTGCTGGTCTATTTCCGAGCTCTCCGTCTGATTTTTGGTGAGCTCTGTGAAAACGATTCATATAAGCAGTCCGTGCTGTATTCCCTTATCGTTCAGTTCGCTAAACGTGATCAGTTTATATTCTGTTGTGGCATAATAAATTTCATGGTGAGAGTCCACTCTATAAAAAGAATTGATGTACCTTTTATGTGAAAGAGAAATGAGTTGTTCTTAATAACTGATAGTATGCATTTTTTAAAAAGAGTTCTGAAATTGGGCAGGAGCTTAAATTCCATCCAATATTTTTCGCTGAAATTTACGGGGATTGTTTTTTGAAATGACAAATTTGAATCATCAATGTCTTGTGCACCGAAAATAGGAGAAAAAAATTCAAAAAGTGAAGAAAAAGGAGGAACGTTTGACAGCAATAAGTGCTCACTGCTACACTGAAAAGTTCAAGCAAGTCGCGCAAGATATGGTTCAGTTGCTATGAAACTAAGTACTTTCCTGTAATCAAATGAATGATTCGTAGTTGTTGTATCAAAAACTGGAGAAAAAGCTGGAAAAATCATACAACAAGGAGAAACGTTCAATTTCTTCTATGCTGACAAGTTCGATCGCAAGGCGTGAGCTTCATATGTGACATTTTTGGTTGAAATTTTGCTTAGAATGCTTCTAATTCATCAGGAAACGGGTTCTGGCAGCACACCTGAAATGGGAGACAAAATAGATTTAGACTGATCAGTTCCTCTAATTTGGAGAGAACAGGTGTTTCGAAGTAAGATCAGTTCAAACGCATGATGAATTGTTACAATAAACTTTTTTCAACTCAACATATCTACTCGTTTGCGGTTCTTTGAACATTTTCAATTTCAGCGTTGTGAAGAAGTAATAACTCCTAGAGAGAAATCAACAAACTGATTTCAAAATTGACTAATTTTAAACATTTGTTTAGCAGTCGAAATACTAAACTATAATGGTGTATTAAGTTGTAAGATGCGTGAGGTGTATTAAGTTGTAAAATCATAAACTGAGCGGCCACTGATAAAGTTTGCGCTATATGCACGTTAAACAAGTTTATTATAAACAAATGCATATTTGATATGCACAACTGCTCTATGAATAAGTGTCTATTGTGTACCCAATCACACTGAGATGCGCGATCCTTCGCTTAATCGCATCGTTGTACCCATAATCTTGTGATTGTTTCATATTATTACTTTTGTAAATCTTATCATAAATATTTGTAAGTATTACCTATCATAATTATTATTACTGTTATAAGTACAGATACTGTTGTTGTTGTTGTCATCAACGAATGGTTACCAAAAAATTTTGAAATTGTTGACGTTTTACATACATCCTTGCAAAAGTACCGATGAGGATTGAGTAAATGTTAAACTGCACAGAAGACGCTAAGTGTTCTTATCGTTTGAATGAATTCCGATATGAAACATTTAATGAGGAATGAGTTTAGTAATGTTT